GGTGTTTGAGAGCAGGTACTGGACACATTGAAGAAAAGATTGATGCTGATTTGTGTGGATGGTGTCTCCTTGGGTTGTGTCAAATAATCCTCCAGATTAACCACTTACTATAGAAATTACTGTAGAAATAGTCATTACACTTGACAGTAATTCGATCAGAGCGTGCTGTAATGTATGTGGAGTGGGGGTGGTTGTGGGGGGGGGGCGGCAAATGCTGTAACAAGATCAGGTTCTCTTTGAATTGCTGCTCCGGTGACACTTATCTGATGCTGACCAAAGAATGGATAAGCTGTCTTCTCGCCCCTTCCCCACATTCACTCTGCTCTGGACGGTCAATTCCTCTGTCTTCTCAGCTCGACTCTTCATCCCTTAATGTGCAGCGTGTGACACCCACCTGTAAAGCGGGGACAAGTCTGAATGGAGATGGGATAGTTTTCTGCCTTCAGCAACATTCGTTTGTCCAGTGAAAACGTGGGGTTGTTTGCAAAGATCTCTCACTCCTTGAAAGCCGAGTGTCACTGTTCCACATAAACACCTGGTGTCACCATCAGAGGTTGGCTTTCAACCACTACGCCCAAAAACTCTGGAACACTCTCCCTGAATCCCTCCACCTTGCACCCCCTCTCGCCTCTTTCGAGTCCTGCTTACAGCTACCTCCCCCCTCCCCACGGTTTGAAGTCAGGCTCCGCCACTGTTAATTGCTCTGAGATGCTACCCTACTTGGAGAGGAACCAGCCCGATCATGAGAACAATCAGGATTGTCAGACAACATGGGGGGGTGACAGTCTTGTCGGACTGGAAGCAGGTACAACCATACAATAACAGACAAACAACACGCACACACATAGATACACACGCACACAGACACAGACACCCAACAGACACACACGCAGACGCACACATATACACACAGACATACGAGTTGACATACAACGGATGTACTGTCTTCAAGAATTCTCTTCAGTCAGTGTTTGGAATTTCAATTATGAAGTTCATCCCTGTGTCTCCTATACAATCGTTTATAACATTTGTTTTCTGTATATTCTACAACCTTTGTTTTTCTTTATTGAATTTCTCTAACCTATAAGTAAATATGATGGAAAAGCTGATGTGTGGAAGAAACTGTGAATGAAGCCAGAGACACCACACAGTGTATGAGTGAATACAGAGACTCCACATAATAATCTTTGCATCTCATGCAAAAATCCTTGCATTTGGTGTATCGCTTTATCACGGCAGACGGACAACAACAACTTGCATTGATACAGCACTGTTCACACGGGCTAGAGTCTTGGAATACTAAACAGTGGTGGTCAACAGAGGAAAATCTTCATGCAAGATCTGCAACAGGGAAAGGAGATGGACAGGTGATGGGATTGAATGAGTGAGTTCCAGAGCTTCAGGACATTGTGGCTGAAAGCTAGCCCCCATGTCAATGCATCTTTTTTTGCCAGTAAATTGTAGTCCTAAGGCACTGTACAACAACAACAACAACAAGATTCCATTTTAAAGCGCCTTTCACGTCAGGAGGACGTCCCAATGTGACTGTAGTCACATCATCCATTTATTGCGCGTGGGCGTCTGTGGCCAACAAAATTGAACTAGAGACATCACCATAATAATAATTATCCTTGCATTTGATATATACATGCAAACATGTTGAGGGTCTGTGAGCAAATGTGCCAGGGTGTGGTGTTAGTGTTGGTGTGTGTGTATATCCGACAGTGTGTGAGTCAGTGCGTGAGGGGGTTTGAGAGCCTGTACGTGGGTGGATCTGTGTGGGTGACAGAGTGTCTATGTGAGTGGGTGTCAGTGTGTGTAGTGTGTGTCAGGGTGTGTGTGTGTGGGGGGGGGGTGTGGAGAGGTTTGTGGACAGTTGTCTTGGTGGTTTATCACTCTAGTCTTTGTCAAAATGATAAATGAGGCGGTTGCATCGCAGTGAGAGCTCCGAGGCGGACTCCTGGCTCTTCTCTGGAGATGTGAAGCTCCCCGAGGATGGAGCAGGTGGGAAGCGACAGGAACCAGCTCTGATTGTCAGCAACAGCTCATTATTTAGCTTCCAAGCCTCGTCACGTCTGGAGACCATTGTGAGTTGACGCCACAGGGACAACCTTGTGGTCACCATGTCTCTGCTTGAACATCACCCGGTTCACATCGCAATATTATTCTTTTATTATCATGGGGTAATATTATTATAATGTATTGTGTTTTCTATTTTATTATTATATTGTTGATCAATATTATTATTTACAACTGACAAATATGACATTGCTAACCTGTGATGGACGGTTTATAGGCTCGTGGAGCACGGTGAGGGAGCAGAGACTGGAGGCACTGGGAGAGTTGTGGCAGAGGCGTGCAATGTTACTTATTTGAGGCAAAGTGCAATACTATTTATATTAGCAATGGTCACCTTAGCATAGTCAGATATTAACAGTAGCACCTCTATATATTCTGACATTAAGAGTGACGCCTCTGTGTACTCTGATAATAGCTGTGACATCTCTATTTTGTCTGATATTAACATTGACACTTTTATGTAGTCTGACATTAGCAATAACTACCTTCATATAGTCGGACATGAACAGTGACACCTCTATGAAATCTGACATCAACAGTGACGAGTCTATGTATTCTGACACTATCAGAGATATCTTTGTCTGATATTAACAGTCGGAGCTTGATATAATTTGTCTTGCTGCGTGACATTATACAGTCTGGAGTCTCCTGTATCTGCTCCTCATTCTGTGTTGTGTCCCATATCTCATCACAGGCCATCCTGACATCACAGTCTCACATGTCACACAGAGAGATTGCACATTTGTCCACTTTATTGTGTAATAACGGTTACACCATAACTTTTCACAAGGTTCACAAGTGTTTTTTGCTGTACAGTTACATGGAAAGCGATTCCTGGGCAGGGCCATGTGATCAAAGCGTTAGGTCCAAGAGTTTATCATAATATGTTTTATATTTGATATCAATGCCTCAAAGTTCAAAGTGCAGGGAGCAGCAGGTCTTGTCTATTTTTAGCAAACCAAAGCCGATGGCACCTTCTCCCCATCATTATAATAATAATAATCCTTGCATTTGATATAGCGCTTTTCACGTCGGGAGGACGTCCCAAAGCGCTTCACAGAATATACTGTAAAGTGAATTGACTGTATATTGGTGGGCGAAACGCGGCAGCCAATGGCGCACAGCAATGTCCCAGAAACAGTCATGGTTTGAAAATGACCAATTTATTATTGTTTTTGGAGGGATTATTATTAGGCTCTGTGTGGAGTAAGGAAACTTGCCCGAGGTTTGGCCCTCTGCCTGGAATTGAACTCAGGTCTCTCGCTTGCAAAGCGAGTGCTCTAACCACTGAGCCACAGGACTCCACATGGACCTGACCTCATTGCCCACCCTCGCCCCCTCTCTCTGCCCAGTAACACGTGACTCACCCCCACATTATTGCTCTCATTTTGAGTCACTGTTGTGCTGTCAGTGAATCAGTGTCAGGGACTCGGTGGCACAGCCAGCGCTGAAGTAAGGATAGAGTTTCTCAATGAACGTGTCGGAGGAAGTGAAGAGAAGAGACATGAAGTCAGCATCCTACAGTGTCCTCCTGCATAGCCCAGGTACGCGCCCAGCACCCGGGGTCTCATGCCAGGGCAAGGGGTAGGAGATGAGGTTAGAGCTTTATATTGCCCACTGTGCTGCCACACAGCCCAAATGCTCACCTCAGGTCCATGTATGAATAACCTCTTCCTGGGCACAGACTCTCGGGCCAACCCCACAATCCAGAGTGTGCTGTTCCCAACCCCCACCTTCCCACTGTGTCTCCCTGATGTGAACCCCTCAGACCCCCAGGACTCCAGGCCAGTGACTGAACCTCTCCAGGGTGTCAGGAACCTGCTTCTCTCCGTCACCAGCTCTCACTCGGGTCCAGTCCTCAGACAGGTTGAGCCAGGGATGTGTTAGGATCCAGAGTCTGAGAGGCTGGAGCTGAAACAGAAAATGTCCACATGCTGGCGCTCGAGGGGGTGAGGAGTGAGAACAAAAAATCTGCTCAATATTTATTTCCAGAGTCAGATCCCAATCGCAGGATCAGAGAAAAGATTGTGTTCGCTGGAGTGACGGCCTTCAGTACCTGTCTCTACGCTCTGTACTGACTGCCGAGGCCCACTTAAGTTCCCACAAATTCAGATCAACAGCTGCAATCACTACGGAAACAGTTCTATGAAATATATCGGAATTAAAAATAAGGAGATTTAGATTCAATCTAAATCTTGCATACAGACAACTTTAACCCACTGTTGCGGTCAGATTTGTTCTGTGATTGTTATTAAACCGAGACGCTACCGGGGCACTACCCACCCGCGATTGACGATATAAAGGCAAGTTGTTGTTGTTGTTGTTGACGACTGGGGACAGTCTTGGAGAGGGTTAATTCTTGTGGCGCACGTGCTTGTGTGAGCGAGAGAGACTGGGGATCGCCAGTGAGAAAGCTGATTCGTCCGTGTATGTCGGGAACTGGGGAGAGGCAGTTGGAGGGTTTCTCCCATTTTGTGTGTGAGAAAGACTGGAGATTGGTAGTGAAGGGGTTAATCCCTGTGGCCAGAGAGTACCGCTGTGTCTCTCGCCTGCAGCCCCGATCAGGTTTGGTTAACCCTGTGTACCCCCCACCCCCCCCCCCCCGCCCCCCTACACGTAGGCACACACACGCACACAGATACTCTCTTCTCTTTCCCAATAGCCCCGCGAAGATCTTATCCTGAACAGACACAGGCAAGAGCTCAGCTTAACGTCTCATCTGAAGGCCGGTGCCTCCGACAACGCAACCCCAGCACTGCCCCAGCAAACCCATCAGCCGAGGCTGTGAGCTCAAAGGCCTGACGTGGGGCTCGAACCCACGACCTCCTGACTCGGAGGCAGAACCTGCAGCAGCCATCAATCACAGCAGAGAAACTATAAAACTCCAGAACCTCCCACTCCGCAATTCACCATAAACACCCCCCCCCCACTCAGCAATGTGGGGAAAGGTTAGTATTCAGATTCAACCCATTGAATTCAACCCATTTGGAGTCCTGTAGCTCAGTGGTTCAATTCCAGGCAGAGGGCCAAACCTCGGGCAAGTTTCCTTACCCCACACAGAGTCTAATAATAATCCCTCCAAAACCAAAAACAATAATAAATTGGTCATTTTCAATCCACGACTGTTTGTGGGACATTGCTGTGCGCGATCGGCTGCCGCGTTCGCCCACAAATATATACAGTCAATTCACTTTACGGTGTGTTCTGTGAAGCGCTTTGGGACGTCCTCTCCCGACGTGAAAAGCGCTATGTCAAATGCAAGGATTATTATTATTATTATTGATGTGACACTGGAGCATGACCTTCAACCTGGACACAACCTTTACCCACAGCTTGTCCTTTGCCCTGGAGTGTGAACCTTTGCCCTGGAGAGTGACTGTTGGCCAGGGCATGACTTCCTAACACTTCCAGGTTCGGGTGAGTCCCGACCGCACCCCCATCTCATTGGCTGTGAATGCAGCCCAGGCTCAATCTCAGTCACTGAAACCAATAAAAGTCAACGAGATGAGACCAGAAGGTGTTTAAAAGGCGGCCGCAACCTGAGCACCAGGTCTGAGTGTTACTGGGTTAATGACAGGGTGGTGGGGGGGGAAAAAAAAAAGAGTGAACGCGAATAACTGGTGAGTGCTGAGCCACTGGGAGGGAAAGGAAAAACTCCTTTCTCTTTTCCGATAGTGCAGGATTTTGTTTAATGTCCTCCTTAACGGTCGGGGTGCCACCTGGCTGTTTTTTTTCGAACTGATTTGGCTGTTTCTTTTACTGCGTTTTACTGTTGGTGAAGACGTTTAATGTGCTGTTTCTCGGAGCAAATCACCTGCTGGTGCTTTTGTTCAAATGAGTGAGTTTGAATGCCGGTGTGAATTGTGTGTTTTCATTCAAGTTGTGGTTCTGGCATCTTAACGTTGTTTTCGATCGAGCTGCACATTAATGAGGATTTTTTTGTGTCTCAGCGGTGACAACAGGTAGTGTCGGGGAACTGCTCAGTACAATGCCTTGCCCAACGGACAGTGTTTTTAGCTGCGACGCCCCAAAACTGTAGAACACTCTCCCTCAACCTCTTGCCTTTCGACCGTGTTGACGGTCACCTCTCCCTTGGCTCGGAGTCGGGCTCCGCCACTGTTAAGCGCTCTGAGATGCTACCCTGTGTGGAGGGCGCTCTATAAGTTGTTGTTGTTTCTGCCTCCCCCCTTCCCCCAGCGTTGTGCTGGAGCATTAGCCTGGACTATGAGGTTAAAGACTGTAATCATAGAATCATACAGCACAGGAGACCATTCGGCCCATCGTGTCTGTGCCGGCACTTGGAAAAGAGCTATCCAAGTCAATCCCACTCCCCCGCTCTCTCCCCATAGCCCTGCAAACTTGTCCTCCCCAAATAATTAGCTACTTCTCTCTTAAAAGTGGTTATCAAATCGGCTTCCAATGGGGCTTGAACCCACGATGTGCTGACTTTGAGGGTTCAAGCCCCATTGGAAGCTGACTTTGAGGAGGGTTGGGAGGGAGTGAGAGAGAGGCAGCCTGACAAGGAGAGGGGAGCAGCCTGAATCAAATGAGATTTCTTGTTTGGTTGTTTATCGATTGGTTATTGATTATATTTGATTATATTCTTATTATAACCAGGTGTTGAGCTGAAATATTTGCTGATTGCTTGGGAGTCAAGAGCCTGTAAGAAAAAATGGCAACCAGCAACATGATGGATAACATCACCAGCGAAATTATCTGCTCTATCTGCCTGGACTTGTTCCAGGACCCCGTGGTCCTGGAGTGTGAGCACTACTTCTGCCGCTCCTGCATCTCCCAGTTCTGGTCCAAGATGAAGGGGGACACCTCGTGCCCGGAGTGCCGACATGTCTCAGCCCGGAGACACCTGAAGTCTGTCCGTGTCCTGGCCAATATCGTGGAGCGTGTGCGGCTGCTGATGCCAGGAGATGAGGAGAAGGACAGTCTGTGCTGTCAGGAGCACGGCCATGGCCTGGGTGATCGGCTTAAGATGTACTGCCAGGACGACCAGAAGGCCATCTGTGTGGACTGCTGGAGCTCCAAGCACCAACTCCACAGAATCAAACCCATAAAGGAAGCCACCAGCTTCTACACGGTAGGACCACGACGGGGCTCATGGGGTCGGGGGTGGAGGTGGAGTTTGTTTGTATGATGTGACTAGGGAGAGGAGGTGAGAGGATTCGTTTATGTGCATGTAACTGAGTAATTGGGCAATTTCCTTACTCCACACACCTCTGTTTACCGAGCAGCAAGTATGAACCCGGTTGTTAGTCAATTGGTGGATTGCTTTCTGGGGGTAATAATGCCTTCAAAAAATGAAGATAATAATTTGGTCACTCAATAATAATACTTGCATTTGATATAGCGCATTATCACGTCTTTGAGACGTCTCAAAGCGCTTCACAAGATATACTGTAAAATGGGTTGACTGTATATTTGTGGGTGAAATGTGGAAGACAATTGCACACAGCAGTGTCCCACAAACAGTTGTGGATTGAGTGAACAAATTATTATCATTTTTTTGAGGTATTATTACTACTTGAAAAGCTATCCACCAATTAATTGACTTATACAAAGCACAAGTGATGTCAAACTTGCGTAGAATATAAACTCTTGAACGGTACTTGGGCAGATATACCACTTAAGTGATTATATGATTTAAGACAGATCCGACTTATGTGAGGTTTACTGTAGTACTTTGCAATATTAATTATATCAATTACGTATAGAGGTACCGAGAAGATTAATCACAGTGCGTAATAGGGAGAATCAGTTGAAAGTGTTGATCTTGTCATGTGTTTGTGTGTCAGCGTCTTGGGACGTTCTCCCGACGTGAAAGGCGCTCTCTAAATGGAATGTTGTTGTTGTTGTTGTTGAGAGAAACTGGGAAGGCAGAATGAGGGTTAATCTCTCAGTATGTGATTGGCGAGAGGCGAGCACTTCCCTTACCAAGATGGCTGCCAGAGGGCAGCCTTCACCACTATTTCAAAGTGTTGCCTTTACCAAGATGGCGGCTGTCTCTTGTCCCCACCGTTTCAGGTGACCAGGATGAGGTCGTGTGTTCCTTGGCCAAATTTGCCCGGTCTCGAGTTCAGCAACAAACTGAACAAGACCGATAAACTTCGAGAGCAGATGCCACCCTTCAGAGAAACACGGCATTAATCCGACACCCTTCTCCAATGTTCCCAGCATCAGCAGTTTGCACTTGGTTTGCAAAATATGGTGACCCTACATTTCAAATTCCGGCAGTCTCTTTCTTCCTCCCACCCACGGCTACAATTCTTTGTTTTTCAGCAAAAGCTCAAATTGTCTCTGGAGTCGCTGGAGCCATGTCTGGCCGCGGCAGAGAATGTTCGGCTGCAGGAGGAGGCGGACATCAAATCCATCGATGTACGTTTGCGCTCAGCTCCCCAGCTTCGGGCTGCACGCCCTCCCCTCCCCGCTCCCCACCACCGTGCCTGGCTGGATGACCCACAGTGGTCTCGTCCCACCCTGTCTCTGCAACGTCCTGCAAGCCAATGCAATGTGCGTCAGCCTGGCTCAGTGGTAGCGCTCTCACCGCTAAGCCATAAGGTTGTTGGTTCAAGCCCCACATTGCGGCTCGGAATCACATAGTCTCAGCTGACGCTCAAATATGTTGCATTATCAGAGGTGCCGTCCTTTGAATGAGACATCTAACGAAGGTCCTGTCTGCTTGTTCAAGTGGATGGTAAAGGTACTATGCAATTACAGGAAATGACAAGGGAGTTTCTCTCAGTGTCCCGGCCACCAATTGTCCAAAATAAAACTGGTCACTCACTCCATGGTTGTTTGTGGGACAGTTGCTCTCAGCTTTTTGGCTAATGTCATGTGGTGTGGTATCAGGGTTTGACCTTAGCCAAGCAGGAACTACAGAAATCAATGTAAAACTGCTGTATTCACAAAAGTGGGGAGAGAAAATTGAGTTCAAGATCCCTGCGCTCATCTTTAAATCCCTCCATGGTCCCGCCCCATCCAACCTCTTCGAACTCCTTCAACCCTACCGACCTGACCACTCTGCATTCAGCTTCATGTCCACTGCCCAACCCACCCCACTGTCGGGCGGACTTTTAGCGAATCTGCTCTCTGGAACTCCATCCCAGAGTCCCTCTAACTCGCTCTTCCCACTCCCCTCACTTGCTTTTAACAATCGCACTTTGCAGCTCTCTCTCTCTCTCTGTCCCTTATTTTACTATCTTTGAAAAAAAGAAAGAAGTTTCTCCCTCCCTTCGTCTTGCCTGATAATCCCATTCACTTCATGGCTGTTTGCAGGACATCACTGCGCGGGACAAACTGCATGTTTGACTACAGAATACACAGTTGCTGCAAATCTCGATTCAGTGGTAGCACTGCTGCCCCCAAGTCAGAAGGTTGTGGGTTCCAGTCCAATGTTAGGACTGGGAATCTCATAGTCGTAAATTGACTCTAATGTGATGCTAGTGCTATTCAGCATTATTGGAGGTGCTATTCTTAGGATGAGGTGCCAATCCTTTGGATGAGAAGTTAAACCAAGGTCCCATCTGTGCGCAATTGGCTGCCACGTTTTGGCCACAAATAGACAGTCGATTAATTTTCCAACATAGTCTGTGAAGCGCTTTGAGACGTCTAGAAGACGTGAAAAGCGCTATATCAAATGCAAGTATTATTATTATCCGTCACATCAAGGCTCAATTTCAGGATCTCCCTCCTCATCGGCCTTCCCAACTCTTCCCTTCACAAGCTGCAGATCATCCAAAACTCTGCAGCTCGTGTACTCTCACGCACCAGGCTCCGTGACCCCATCACTCCCACCCTCGCCCGACTCCACTGGCTCCCTATTCCCCAGAGGATCGAGTTCAAGATCCTCTTCCTCACCTTTAAGGCCATCCATGATCTTGCCCCCTCTGACCTGCTGACTCCCTACCAACCTGCCCGCTCCCTCCTTTCAGTGGGTTCCGGCCTGCTCCATGTCTCCCGCCCGGCCCACCCTATCATTGGTGGCCGGGCTTTCAGCCTCTCTGCTCCCACACTCTGGAACTTCATTTCACGGTCCCTTCACCTCGCTTCCTCCCTTCCCTCCTTCAAGAATGGTCTCAAGATCTTTCTCTTCGATTGTGCCTCTGGTCGCCCTCCCACCTCTCTGCCTTCCCTCACTCATAAACCACCCCTCCTGCATGGCCAAGGCCCCGACACCTGACTGTTCCGCACTTTGGGACATCCTCCTGACATAAAAGGCGCTCTATAAATGTAATTTTGTTGTTGGTGGTTTCTGGGATGAGGGGGTTGATCTATGAGGAAAGGTTAAGTAAACTAGGCCTATATTCTCAAATGTAGAAGAATTATAGGTGATCTTATAGAAACCTATAAGATTCTTAAGGGTCTGGACAGGGTAGATAGTATGAGACTGTTTCCCCTGGTTGGAGAATCTAAAACTAGGGATCATAGTCTCAGGATTAAAGATCAGCCCTTTAGAACTGAGTTGAGAAAACATTTCTTCACTCAGAGGGTAGTGAATTAATGGAATTCTCTACCCCAGAAGGCTGTGGATGTTTAGCCATTGAACATATTCAAGACTGAGATCGATAGATTTTTTTTAAAAAAAGCTAAAGGGAATGAGTTATATGAGGATAGGACAGGTAAATGCAATTAGGTTAGAAGATCAGCCATGATCTGATTAAATGACGGGGCAGGCTCGAAGGACCGAATTGCCTACTCCTGCTCCTATTTCTTTTGTTCTTATGTTCTTTGTGTCTGGAATGGAATACATTCTCTCTCATCTCTCTCTCTCTCTCTCTCTTCTCCCCCCCCCCCTTCCCCCCCCCCGTCCATTTCCCCACACCCCCTCCCCGCCGGGAGGGACGGTCTGGGTCTTGTTGGCCAGAACTCCGCAAGAGGAAAAACTCCCTTCTGATAGTGTTGCGGGATCTTTGCCATCCACTTGAAACAGCAAGAGAGGGGACCTCCATTTAATATCCCTCAATGCAGCGCCCCCCCCCCAGCAAGGCCCCCCGTTGTGCTCAAAGTCCTGATGTTTGGGCTTCAACCCACAAGACAGGCTGAGAGCTGGCTAACCTATGTCGACAGATGGTGTTTGAGGCTCTGAGCAGTGAAATCCACGCGGAGTTTGAGAGGGTTCATGTGTTCCTGTATAAACGGGAGGAGCAGATGCGAGAGGAGCTGCAGCGGGAAGTGACCCAGAGGCTGAAGACTCTGCACAGCTCCCTCCAGAGCACGACAGAGGAGGTGGCTGGCCTGAGGAGAACCAGACAGGAGATCACTGCTCGTCTGACTATGAGACCCCCAACCATGCTCCAGGTTACAGCTCCCCACTCCTGCTCCCCCAACCCCAACCCCCTCCCTTCTCTCTTCTCCCCTCCCCCCCCCCCCACACACAAGTCTCTCCCCAGCCCGCCTGCCCTCCCAACTGGGAGGACTGGGTTGTCATTACACCCTCAACCTCTCAGGGGGTGATGAGTCTCATAATTAGGAGAGGGGAGAGAATGGGGGTAAGAGGAGACGGGGCTCAACCGGGTGGGGTGGGGGGGAGCTCTGAAGGGGGGGGTTCCCAAGGGGGGAGTGGAGTACCCTAGGTGGTGGAAGAAGTTCCCAATGGGGGGAGAAGGGGAGTCAGTTTATCTGGAGGTGTTGTGTTGTGGTCAGTAACTCTTGTTCTCCCCTCACGCAGGACATTGATGTCTTTCTCAGGCGGTGAGTATTGAATTGAGCCCAAACCTAAAATCGCCCCAATCGTTGCCTCCCCATCACCCCGATCGTTGCCAGGCTTCACTGGCTCCCAGTCTCCCACCAGATCAACATCAAGCTGCTCCCCTTAGCTTATAAATTCCTCCTTCTCTAGCATCTCTCCAACCTGGTCATACCCCGCGCCACTGCCCAGCCATTGCGCTCAGCTCAGCTAACACAGGCCTATCATGTCCGCTCTGGTGACCGTGCCTTCAGTCACTGCGCTCCCAACCTCTGGAACTCCCTGCCTCCAACCCTCTTTATCTTAAATCCCACGTGAAGACTTACATCTTTGATCGTACCTCTGTCCACCTCGTCCCCCTTTTCTTTGCTGCCTAAATGGCAAGTGCCTTGGACAAGAGTGGACTCGGTCTCCTTCCGTGCCGCTCTTTTCTGGTCCGGCGTGCTGCAAGGCGCCCTCGCCTCAGATTGACCGATGGACCGGCCAATCAAGCCACTGGTGAGCCATTAACTAATCGGGGGTGACGTTGTCCAGATGAGCTGCCCACAGCACCTGCTGCAATGGGCAGCTGCCCCTGGCGAGCTTCACTCAGCCCCCCCCCCCCCCACACCGCCTCCCAAGAATATTTTCTCTCACTGCCTATGGCTTGGTGTCCATCCGTGGCACTGTACCCTGTTGAGACCTTATTGTATCTTTGGATAGGAAGTGGGTTGGAGTTCCCTTTGGAACTCCATCCCGCATTCCTTTCACCTCGCTCCCTCCCTTGCCAAATCACGTCTCAAGACCTTCCTCTTCGACCAAGCCTTCGGCCACCCTCCTACCCACCCTGCCCCTACCCTCCCTGGTCCCAATCCCTACCCCCAACTCGGGTCCAAGCGCCTTGGAACATCCCCCCAACGTGAATGTGTAAATGTAATTTTGGATTGTATCAGATCTGAAGCGGCGCTGAATAAATGCTCAGATGGCTGTGCATTGGTGAGTTAGATTGTTTTATGTGGTTGATAGGCAGTTGTCCTGTGTCTGTCTGTGTATCCTGAACTCCCTTGTTCCAGGTGTGAGCTGCCGGTGCCAAGATCAGCTGCCGCCCACACCACCATTGCCGCTCTCCCTGCCCATGTGCCACACGGAGACCTCAAGTTCCTCCAGGTGTGGGGGGATCTGCGAGGCGTCTTCTCACCAGGTCGGTTTCATTCCACTCCACTCGCAGCTCATTTCACGTGCGTTGTGCTACCTGTTCACATGCGTTGTGTAGTCCTGTAGCTCAGTGGTTAGAGCAGTCGTCTCACAAGCAAGAGCACCTGTTCAATTGCCAGCAGGGCAAAACATTGGGCAAGTTTCCTTACTTACCTACCAGTAAGTACGAACACGGTCTTTAGTCAATTGCTGGATCGCTTTTCCGGGGGTAATAATCCATTCAAAAATAATAATAATAAATTGGTCACGCCATCCATGATTGTTTGTGGGTCAATTGCTGTGTGCAGTTGGCTGCTGCATTTCACCCACAAAATACATAGTCAATTCGCTTTACAGTATAGTCTTGTGAAGCGCTTTGAGACACCTCAAAGACGTGATGAAGTGCTATATCAAATGCATGGATTATTATTATTTCTGCATTTCTGCCAGCTCAACGCCTGCTGTTGACTGCTGGAAGATCGCAAATGTCACACCACTATTTTAAAAAAAAAAGGTGGAAAGGAAAAGTTCGGGAACTATAGACCAGTTAGTCTCACATCAGTGATAGGAAATTTTTTAGAATCATTGATTAAGGATGTGGTAGCGCGGTATTTAGGGCACAATATAATTAGGCCGAGTCAACACGGCTTTACAAAAGGGAAGTCATGTTTGACAAATCTCATAGTTTTTTGAGGATATTTTGAATAAACTGGATAAGGGTGAATCAGTGGATGTGGTCTATTTGGACTTCCAGAAGGCATTTGATAAGGTGCCGCATAAAAGGTTAGTCCAAAAGACAAGGGCCCATGGAATTGCGGGGAGCATATTAATGTGGATTGGGGAATGGTTAATGGTTAGGAAACAAAGAGTAGGGATAAATGGGTCCTTTTCAGATTGGTGGGATGTGACTAGTGGAGTGCCACAAGGATCAGTCCTTCGGCCTCAGCCATCTACATCAACGATCTAGATTTACTAGGTTAGTGCCAGGGATGAAGGGGTTGAGTTATGAGGATAGGCTGACCAATTTGGGCCTATATTCTCTAGAATATAGAAGAATTAGAGGGGATCTTATAGAAACCTATAAGATCATCAAAGGGTAGATAGTGGGAGATTGTTTCCCCCGGTTGGAGAAACTAAAACCAGGGGTCACAACCTTAAAATCAGAGGTCAGCCCTTTTGCACTGAGTTGAGGAAGAACTTCTTCACTCAAAGGGCGGTGAATGTATGGAACTCACTACGCCAAAGGGCTGTTGACGCTCAGTCCTTGAACATATTCAAGACTGAGATGGATAGATTTCTTATTGGAAAAGGGATCAAGGGATATGGGGATAAGGCAGCGTCAGGTTATTAGCTGGAGTTAGATTAGAAGATCAGCCATGATTGAACGGCGGGCCAGGCTCGAAGGGCCGAATGGCCTACTCCTGCTCCTACATGTTATGTTAAAGAACAGCTTGTGTGTTTTTTTTAATGGAATCCTGTAGCTCAGTGGTTTTAAACACTCGGTTTATAAATGAAAGACCTGGATTTGATTCCCTGGTAGGGCGAAATGTCGGGCAAGTTTCCTTACTCTCCACATCTCTGTTTACCTAGCAGTAAGTAGTAACCTGGTTGTTAGTCGATTGGCGGATCACTAATCCGGGATAATAATTCATTCAAATAATAATATCCACGACTGTTTGTGTGACACTGCTGTGTGCAATCGGTTGCTGCGTTTCACCCACAAAATGTACAGTCAGTTCACTTTACAGCTTATTCTGTGAATTTGCTTTGAGACGTCTTGAAGATGTGATAAGGCGCTATGTAAAATGCACGGATTATTACATTAAGCCTGTCTTGACTTCTCGCTTCCAGCTGTGACGCCATTCACCTTTGATCCTGACACTGCCCACCATAACCTGGTGCTGAGCGAGGACCTGATGGCTGTGCGGTGCAGTGAGGAGGGGCAGCAGTTGCCTGACCTGCCAGGCCGGTTCAACGTCAAGCTCTACGTCCTGGGCTCGCGAGGTTTCTCGTCGGGCCGCCATTACTGGGAGGTGTCGGTCGGTGGCAAGACGGCCTGGGTTCTGGGCGTGTGCAAGGAGTCTGCGAGCCGCAAGGGAGACTTCCGGAGGAAGCCAGAGACGGGCTTTTGGCTGGTCTGTCTGTCTGGCGAGCAGACGTATGCGGCTCTGGATGCTGCCGGCACCGCGCTATCCCTCACCATCAAGCCCAGGAAGCTGGGCATTCACCTGGACTATGAGTGCGGATGCATTTCCTTCTACGATGCTGACCTCTGCTGCCACCTCTACACCTTCACCGACTCCTTCACTGAGAGACTCTTCCCCATCTTCTGCCCCAGCAACAACTACTCGGGACAGAACGAGGAGCCCCTCACCCTCTGCCTCTGAGGCAGGACCACAGGCAGCAGGTGAACCTATTGGTGGGGGTGGCTTTAGGACAGTCCCAGCCTCCCTGCCAGCATCAAAGATGGCTACTTCGCTCTCCTCTCCTCACTGTTGGCTCTGTGCCGGCATCAAAAGTGTCCATCTCTCCTCCCACTCCCCTCACAGCCCAGGCTCTGCGATGTTGGTGCCATCCCATCCTCCTCCTCACCATGCAGGCTCAATCGGAGTTGGAGTGGGGGGGGCCCTCTTTAAGGCTGGCACAGAGCCTAAGCGGTCGGGAGTAGAAGACTGTCATCTTAAAAAAATAATAATAAATTGGTCACTTCAATCCATGACGGTTCATGGGTTGCTGCTGTGTGCAATTGGCTGCCGTGTTTCACCCACAATGAATATAATCAATGCACTTTACAATATATTCTGTGAAGCGCTTTGAGATGTCTTGAAGACGTGATAAGATGCTTCACAGAATGCAGGGATTATTATTATTATTATTATTATCTATCTGCAGATCACCACCCGTTAAAGAAGTGAACTGTAGAGTTGGGGGAATGAGCCCACCCTTGCTACCCGCCCCTGCACTCCTGTGACTGGAATCCAGTCCGGGAGCCTTGTCTGTGCAGAAAAGAGCAAATATTAGTATTATTATGAGTCTATTTATAGCACCTGCAGTATTGGTGTTTTTATACTGGATCTAAATGTCATGTTTTGGAATTTGTATTAAAGCTTGTTAACCTTTGTCATTGCTATGAATGTTACGGAACCTGCACTTTGATTAAAGTTGGATTATAATTATAACAATAATTTTTGATTTGTGCATTTTGGTACAGCGCCTTTTTTTTTAACGTCTTGACGTACTTGTACGGTAAAGCGGAGTGACTTTAATGGTTTCATTCGAAACCTCATTGAGCCAGTCCGGAACCTCGGCATCTTGTTTGACCTTCAACTGTCCTTTTTACCCCACATCCATGCCATGACCTGTTCTGCCTTCCCGCACCTCCGTAACACTGCCCGGCTCCACCTCTGCCCTCAGGCCGCGGAGACCCTGATCCACGCATTCATCACATCAACTACACTAACTTCCTGCTTGTCGACCTCCAACAACAACAACTTGCATTTATATAGCGCCCCTCATACAGGGCAGTGTCCTAGAACGCTATTCCCTTCCCAACTCTTCCCTTCACAAATTGCAGATAATTCAGAACGCCGCAGCTCATGTCCTCTCCTGTGCCTGGCTCTGTAACCCTATCACTTTCTGCTCAGCGGGCTCCAGCCTGACCCGAACCGACCCAAAATCGGTCTCTATGCCCCCTTGGGACTCCATCCCATAGTCACTTTGTCTCGCATCACAAGGCATGATAGAGTAGAGAGCGGGAGATTGTTTCACCCGGTTGGAGAAACTAAAACCAGGGGTCACAAACTTAAAATCAGAGGCCAACCCTTTCGCACTGAGTTGAGGAAGAACTTCACTCAAAGGGTGGTGAATGTATGGAACCCGCTGTCCCAAAGGGCGGTTGACGCTCAGTCCTTGAATATATTCAAGACTGAGATGGATAGATTTCTTATTGCAAAAGGGATTAAGGGATATGGGAATAAGGTCAAGTTATTAACTGGAATTAGATTAGAAGATCAGCCATGATTGAATGGCAGGATAGGCTCGAAGGGCCAAATGGCCTACTCCTGCTCCTATATGTTATGCTCCTTCCCTTGTCTCCGTCGAGGCCTGTCTCAAGACCCTCTTCTTCGAATGTGCCTTCGCTCAACCTCCTACCCCTACCCTTCCCGCCCTCCACCGCTCCTCATCCCAAGCCACAGCTCGGGTCCAAATCCCTGACTGTCCAGCGCCTTGGGACGTCAACCCGAAAGGTAAATCTAATTTGTTGTTCACTGTTTTGTGGGTGAGTGCGGCAGCCACCGTGACATTGCCACAGACGTGGCGACATTGCCTCAGACAGCCGTGGAATGAGTGACAATTTTTTGAATGTGGAGGATTCTCTGTTGTGGGAAATCTGCATTGATTCACATTGATGGGAATCAATGCATTGATTCACATTGATGGGAATCAATGCATTGATTCACATTGATGGGAATGAAGGCGAAATGTATCCTGAATTGTTCAGAGCCTGAGAAGAGCAAAGGGATTCACAGGAATCTTAAGTAGTGGTACATTACAGGTGGCCAAAGTCACAAAGAATGCAAATAGTCTGTGCCTTTTTATCAGGAAGAATAAAATAGAATGATAATCCTTACAATGGTATAGCACCTTGCCTTGTCAGGAGGATGTCTCAAAGTGCTTCACAGTATCATATTGTAGAGTGTAGTGACTGGTGTAGGTGAATGTGCAGTCAGTTTGTACATCTCACAATCAGCTATGATGTGAATCACCAATTTTATCTGAGATTGTTGGTCATGGCACTGGAAGAGAGAATCCCGCTTTACTTTTTCTGTAATGTCCACCTGAACAGGCTGACAGGTACTCAGGGTGTCTCATCCAAAGGATGGCACCTCTGGCAACTCATCAGGGGTTGAGGACCACACCTGGTTCCACCTCTTATCTCACACCAATTGTGGCTGAAACCCTCATTCACTCTTTGGAGACTTCTCCGGCTTTCTACCAGATGAGAGCTCTTACCTGCACTTGTCTGGCTCCAGTCGAGCCCCCGTATGGCCCAGTCCAGCCCACCCACTCTGGGAGGGAAGATAGTCAAATCATATGGAATCCTGTAGCTCAGTGTTTAGAGCACTCGCCTCGCAAGTGAGAGGACCTGGGTTCGATTCCCGGGTCAGGGCGACACCTTGGGCAAGTTTCCTTTCTTCACACTCCCCAGCAGTAAGTTGGAACCCAGTTGCTAATCAATTGGTGGATCGCTTTTCCTGGGATAACAATTCCTTTACAAGTAGTAGTAATAATAACAAATTGGTCACTTTAATCCGCGACTGTTGGTGGGACGCTGCTGTGTGCAATTGGCTGCTCCGTTTCGCCCACAAAATATACGGTCAATTCACTCGACAGTATAGTCTGTGAAGCACTTTGAGACATTTCGAAGCCGTGACTGTCAATCCAGTCCTCCCAGCGAGTCCTCCTAAGCCACTGATCGTCTGAGGGGCTGGATGATTGACAGGGGCTGGGTGATTGACAACTACGAAGAGAGCGGGCAGTTTAGTAATGAACCTCTTTGATTGCTCCCTTCTCCTTTCTAACATTAGGGTTAGGTTTTGGGTCGTGGTTAGGATTAGCGTTAACCTAACTTTAAGTGTGTCCGGACATGGGCCTTAACCTGAATCTATAGACAGTGGAAAATATTAATGCACATTGATATTCACAGCAGATAATAATAATAATCCTTGCATTCGATAAAGCGCCCTATCACACCATTGATACGTCTCAAAGCGCTTCACAGAATATACTGTAAAGTGAATTGACTGTATATTGTGGGTGAAACGTGGGGGCCAATTGCACACAGCAGCGTCCCACAAATAAGTGTCCCATTTATTTGCATTTTTTTTCAAAAAAGTGATTAATATGCCCCAGAAAGCAATCCGCCAATCAACAAACAACCGGGTTCCTACTTACTACTCGGTAAACAAAGGTGTGTGGCGTACAGAAACTCGCCTGAAGTTTCACCCTGTCTGGGAATTGAACCCAGGACCTCTCGCTTGCGAGGCGAGCGCTCTCACCACCACACTACAGGACTCCACTTCAGATCACGCATGAAGATATCATTCCTCTTCGACCACGCCTGCATTCACCCCCTCTCCTGGCCTGGCGTCAAGATCCACCGCTGTTGAGCGCTCCGAGACTTCACCCCGCACGAAGGGCGCTGTATAAATGTGAGTCGCTGTTGTATCATCAGGTATTCTTTTATTGCTCCCTCATTCAAAGAAAAATCAAGCTGAATCTCATGGCAGCAAATTCCCAGCAATGAGATTCTCAGATACAACATGTAAAATTGCTCCAAACCGCTTATAACGCACACCTCAGATTAACACTCGCTCCCGCCTGCCTGTCCAGCGCTCTGATATACCAACATTATCAAGGTCTCTGACACTGACAGAGAAAGCACACAAGAGATACGCTGTCTTGCACATGCATGGCTCCAGGAATTCTGCAATCAAAGCTTCAAACACTTACAGGAGGTAAAGTGTGAAACGCAACGTCCAAGTCTGCGGTGTCTATGCTGAATACAAAAGGGGGCGCGAGAGACATGGCTCACAGCTTCCCTCAGCAGCAGATCAAAATATACACCAGAGAGAGAAAGAGGGGCTTCCTCGATCTTGATCGGGGTTAACTTTGGTGAAATCAGAGGCTTCATAACTGCACTGCACAAAGCTTCAGAGGTTCGGCGTTCTTGCCACCATCGCTCTCCCCCGGGCTGAAGTAAGGAAAGAGTTTCTCGGTGAATTTGTTGGTGAAGGTATAGAGGACGGACATGTCGTCGGCATTGTAGAATGAGACGTGGCCCCTCTCGTAGTCCAGGAAGACCCCGATCATCTTGGGCTTTGCTCTGAGTGAGAGCAAGGCCGATGGCGTGGACAGTGCCTCGTACTCGTTGCCGTTCCTCAGCCAGATTGTCCAGAACCCATCCTCGGGTGACAGGATGATGTTGCCTTTCCGGTTCACAGACTCCCTGGCCAGCCCCACATCCCACATGGTCTTCCTCCCAACCTCCACCTGCCAGAAGTGCCGGCCCGAGTCAAAACCCTGTGAGGCCAGCACGCTCACACAGTCATCAAATCTCTCCGCGTTGTCAGGCAGGTCCTGCCATGTATCGCTGAGCCTCACGCTGGTCAGGTCATCCGACAGCAGTAGCTCAGGATGAGCCGTGTTAGGCTCCAGGGTCAGTGCGGCCGGAACTGGAATCACACACACGATCAACAACAATAATAATAATCGTCGCATTTGATGTAGCGCCTTATCACGTACACGAGATGTGATAAGTCACTTATGTCAATACAATTCAACAATTGGCATTCACATGGGGCGGTGCCTCGAAGCACTCAAAGCCGAGCCGGGGAGATGACCATAGGTGTGGTCAAACAGCAAGGTTTTGAGTGGCAACGTGAAGACGGGCGAGGGAGGGGTTGCAGTGGAGGGATTGAGGCAGAGACTTGCAGAGTCTCGAGGTGTAACCACTTTGTGGCATCTTCCCTGACGTGACAAGGAACTCTTGTCAAATACAAAGATTATGGTTATCGTTGTATAGTATTGTAAAACATCTGCAGTGCCGGACATCCGCCACTGGGCGTCGTTCCTCTCGCACCAGATGATGGTGACAGCAATGAGCCACACAGTCTCTGATACACACAGTCACAGAAGACAATATGAGTCACATTTCCGTTGGGAGGATGTCTCAAGGCTCCACAGTGGCTGCGGAGCTGGGGTAGGGAACCGTGGGGGACGCGGAGGAGAAAGATGACCGAAGGGGCGTTCAAAGAGGAAGGTCTCGATTTGTACCTCGAAGGAGGTGAGGGGGTGAGTCTGGGTTGGAGTTCCAGAGTGTGGGGGCCAGAAAGTGAACCCTAAACCTTCTCCCTCTATAGTGAGAGAGCTAGCGACTAACCCAGGCTGCTGGAGAAATTTACATGGAGGATTCTTGGCTCGAACATACAGAGACACTTAGGTGCCATTACCTGGAGAAATGGCCTTTAACATTCGTTTCCAAATGATAAATTGCAAGGGGCCACCAAACTGACCCAGAAGCAGATTAAGAGGAACCACTGGCGGCTTCTTAAACTTGACGTATGACCTTCGAAAAACATATCACACATTAAAGAAAACATCAACAGC